GAAAGGAAAAAAAGGAGAGGAAAGGAGGGGAGACGAAAGAAAGAGGAGGGGGGGGACAGAAAATAAAAACAACAAAGAGGGGGGGGGCGAAGTCGCTGCACCGGCTGGAGGATGAGCGGGCTCGGCACGGAGGGGTGGGGCGGGGCAAGCGGGAAGGGGGGGGGGGGGGGAGGGGGCCTCTTGGAAGCGCTTCCAAATCTTGATGTTGAGCCGCCGCTTGCACTCGTCGTAGAAGCCGTAGATGCGGTTGATCGAGGCGCACTCGTGGTTGCCGCGCAGCAGGAAGAAGTTTTCCGGGTACTTGACCTGAGACGCGAGCCGGAATACAAGAATGGTGTGCGACATCATACCGTGTTCTCTTCTGTAGGACTTGGACGTGTGCGCGAGCAGCAGGCACATGCGATCTGGGGAGATACGGGGAGATCCGGGGAGATCTGGGGAGATACGGGGGCTCTTGACCTTGTACGCGAGCAGCAGGCACATGAGATCTGGGGAGATCTGGGGAGATACGGGGAGATCTGGGGAGATATGGGGGCTCTTGACCTTGTACGCGAGCAGCAGGCACATGCACTCGAGTCCGTTCTTCCCGCGGTCCACGTAGTCGCTGCGAGGTGCGGAGGGGGTGCGGGTGGGCGGCGGGGAGGCGCGCGAGGCGGGAGGGGCGAAGCGGCGGCACAGCCGGGGCCTCGCGCGCGAGTCGCAACCTCCCGTCCGCCCCCGCCCACCTTGCCCCGCGCCTCTCCCCTCCCCCTCCGCGCGGGCGCTCACCCGAGAAAGAGGTAGTTTGCCTCCGGAGGGAAGCCGCAGTGCTCAAAGAGGCGCAGCAGGTCGTGGTACTGCCCGTGGATGTCGCCCACGATCTGTATCGGCGCCTCCAGCTCGAGCAGCGCGTGCTGATTCTGGATGACCTCGCTGCTCTGGTCGATCAGCATCGTCACCTCGTCCGTGGTCAGGTTCACGTTTGTCCCCGGCTTCTCTGCGAGGCGCGAGGCGGGCAAGGGCGCTCGGCGCGCGCGACGCTGAGCGTGAGCCGCGGCGCCCCTCCCCTCCCCCCTCCCTCGGGCCACAGGCGCGCGGGTAGCGCGGCGTCGGGTCGCGTGAAACGCTCACTTTCTCTGGCCTCCAGCAGCTTCTTGATGATGGCGTTCAGCTTTGCGTCATTGGGATCGCCCATCGCGCCGGCGCGGGAGATCGGCCGATTCTTGCGGCGCGGCGCTCTCCCCTCCGATCAATCCCGCGGCGCCGAGCAGCAACCGACCTTGCCAAGACGGGGACGCACGGCCCGTCGGCGGGCAAACGGGAGCAGCAGGGGGCGGGGGCGGTCGGGGGGGGGGGCGCGATCACTAGGGGCGCGGCGGGACGGCGCGACGGTGGGTTGGGCGTGAGTGTCTGCTGCTGTGGCTCGAGCCGACCTCCTGTGGGCGCCTAGCCTAAGCCTCCAGGCCACCAAGCCGAGGAGTTCCGCGAAGAGAAATCGCTCAGTGAGGTTGCGTCGTCATGTTAGCCTCTACTGTCTACTAGCTCCAAGCCGGAACGAAAAGAAAGAAAATATTTAGAGGACAGGAATTTGTTCAAGCCGTCGCCCACCCTGGGCGTCTGCCTCTTCCTTTGCAGTTCCGCTCGCGACAAGCCGCCGACTGGTCATCTTGCTCGATCTGCGCGTCGCGTGGTCGGCGGCGTGCTCGACTGGCGTGCGCTTGCTGAAGAGGCCGCGGTCGGGGGGTGCATGCATGCGTCTGCCCTGGGGGCCGCGCGGGTGGCAGGAGAGCGGCACGAGGGCGTCGGTCGCCGACTCGATCGACTCCGATGTGAGCGAGGAGGGCCACCGCCGCTTCCACACCGCCCCCGCTAGGTACGGTGCGCGCTCGGGCCAGCTCAAGCGGCGGTCGGCCCCCCCGATCTGGGAGGTGGCGGATCGGTTCCACGAGGAGCCTGACCGCTCCGCTCTTGACGATCCGAGCGCGGCGAGTCAGCGGCGGGAGAGGCTCCGCGACGAGGCTCAGTCCTCGGCGTGCGCGTTTCTGCAGCGAGAGAGGGACCTCCTCGCGCGCTTGCCTCAGAGCATCGGCCGCGGCGGCAGCGGCGCCGACAAGCTCTGGAGCGAAGTAGCCGACTTCAAGCGAGAGGCCCTCGCGGAGCGCGCGCGGCTGCAGCGGCTTTGCCAGGCGAGCGACATTGCGGGGCGGCGCGGGGCGGAGCCGCCGCTCGAGTCCCTCCTCGCCGAGGACCCGACGGTGACCGCCTTCGACCTCTCGCTGCAGCACTCCCTCCTCTTCGAGGAGCTCCTGCGTTATCAGGAAGCGGCGAGCGGCGCAGCCGAGCAGCCCGAGCTGCCCCCCGGGCACCCGATGCTGCGCGCGCGCGCGGCTCAGTGCATGCCACTTCTTCCGCTCTCGCCGCCGGTCCTGCCGACCGCGGCCTCGCCTGTCAACGAGAACGGCGACAACGACATTTTTGAGATGGACAGCTGAGCAACCCCCCCCCCCCCCCCCGCTGCGAGCATGGACACCATTCATTGTACATTTTGGCGCTCGGCCGCGCCGTGTATCTTTGGTCGCGGAGCGTGAAGCGCATGCCTCTTGTCCTCGTCGTGTGTTCGGGACCCCGTACTTGGGTCCCCGTTTTTCGCAGGCATGCGCAGCGCTCCATGTGTGTACGCGGCGTGACTGTGCCATCTGTGTGCGGAGATCATCGATTCTCTCAAGGATCATATGTCGCTGCTCTCGTCTCATGTTTCATTCATGATCATGTAAATTCATGTATCATGATATCATGTGTGCGCGTGTTCATGAGATTGTTTGAAATTGTCCCCTCCCCGCCATAGACCCCACAATACCCTCACCAGATATACGTATACCACATCTCGTGTGTTGTGTTTATAATAATTCATCCACACACGCAAAAAAGCTCACGCCGCCAAATGCAAATCTGTCCTCTCTCCCGGCGCCGACACACGGCAGACACATGCGCGGCACACGCCGCGTCTCTCAGAGAGCACAGAGGCGTTCTCTGTGCCTCCACACGGGGAGAGGGAGCGCGCCCTCACACACATGGCGGCGACATCTCCTGCACCGGCCCTGCACCGCCGGGCTTGAGACGCGGGCCGTCTCACGCCGCCGGGAGGACGAGGGTGCTAGAGAGCACCCACGAGAGGTCCGGTAGCGAGTCGACCCACGCAGCGACGTCGCCTGCACACGCGAGGGGCGGGGGGGTGAGACGCGCGACTCTCCCTCCCACCAACCGCCCCTCCCGCCGCCGGCGCGCCCTCGGCGCGCGCGCCAGCGGAACTCGGGGCCGCCGCAGGCGCAGCGCCCATCCCGAGCTGCGCCATGTCTGCACTCAGCAGGTCACCCGCCGCCGGCGACGCGAACGCGCCTGGCACGCGCGGGCGAGGGGGGGGGGGGGGGTCAGAGCCGCAAGGCCGGCGGGCGGACTGGAGGGGCGAAGGCAGGTCAGCGGCCCGCCCGCGTCTCCGAGCATGCTCACGTCTCCGAGCGTGCTCAGGTCGAGCATCGACCCGGCGGCGGACGCGGGGCCGCTCGGCGGAGCAAAGGCGGCGGGCGTGGCGCTGAAATCGCCGAACCCATCGTCGGGCGGCGGCGACGGGCTCGAGGCCGGGGCGGCGCTCGGCGCCGCCACCGGCGCGGACCCCTCAAAAGTGCTGAAGTCCCCGAAATCGCCCGCACCGGACGCGGCAGCCGGCTGTGCAGGCTCCGGCGAGCCAAAAGTGCCAAACTCACCGAAGTCGTCCTCGGGCGAAGAGGACGAGGGCGCGGGCGCGAGCGAGGAGGAGGCGCCACCCGAGGGGGCGGGAGGCGCGGCGGGCTCGGGCGAGGCGAAGGGGGGCGGTGAGCCAAACGGCGTCGCCCCCTTCAGCCCCTCGCCCGGTGGCGTGCCCGCCGCCGCCGCGCCTGGCGGGGTGATGCCGGAGGGCGGCATGACGGCGCCTGGAGGAGGCGTCGGCGCGAAGCCGCCCGGGCCGGGGCTAGGCGTGTCGACGTCGGACACGGCGAGGCCGAGCGCCTGTTCGGGAGGGTCCGAGAGGGCTTGTGGGATGCTTCGAGGCCGACGAGCGGCGCAGGGTGAGTGCGAGGCTGGGAGACTGGCGCTTTGCCGTTGGCGTCAGCCTTGGCGCTCGGGCTCTGAAAAGGGGGGTGTCAAGTTCAGTCGGGGGGGGGGGGGGGGAGCCTCGATGAAGCGCTGCTGGAGGAGGGAGCCCGCCCACGCGCCCGCCTCGCTCGGCTCGGGCTGCCAGAGCGACGTGTTGCACGCGAACCCGCTCCCGTTCTCCTTGTCCGTCAGCGCAGAGGCGAGCGCCTCTTCCAGTCTCACGCCCGCCACCGAGGAGGAGGCAGAGGCGGAGGCGGCGGGGAAAACACCCGCGAGCACCTCCCTCGCGACGCGCCGCAGCTCCGCACCGTCGCCCTCAAAGGCGGACGCGCTGACGAGGCCGACGGCGGGCGCGGCGGGAGGCGCGGCGGCGGACGGCGCGGCGGGCGCGGCGACCGGCTGAGCCTGGCTCGAGTCGAAGTCGCCGAAGTCATCTCCGCCGCCGTCGCCGCCAAAGTCGCCAAAGTCGTCGTCTCCGCCTCCCCCGCCGCCGAAGTCGCCGAAGCCGTCGTCCTCTTCGCCGCCTAAAGGAGGAGCGTGGCACCCCCTCCGAAGAGGGCTGCGATGGGCGGGCCCCTCCCAGGCCCACGCAGTCGCACCGCCCCCGCCGCCAAAGTCTCCAAAGCCGTCATCCTCGCCGCCGCCGCCGCCGCCGCTGCCGCCGCCGCCACCAAAGTCACCAAAGTCGTCATCGCCCCCGTCGCCCCCGCCGCCCCCGCCGCCGCCCGCCCCCTCCTCCGGCGGCGCAAACCGGTCAAACTCCTCCGCAGCGCCCAGCCCGCCCGCCGCCTCGCCGCCGCCGCCAGCCTCGTCGTCGTCGTCGTCGTCGTCGTCGTCGTCCCCAATCTCGAAGCTCGCCTCCTGCATCTCCTCCCCAACCTCGAAGTTGCCGCCCGGCACCGACGCCGCCACGGCCGTGCGAGCCTCCGCAGGCGCCGCCTCTGCCGGCGGCGCAAAGCTCCGCGCGAGCTCCTCGTCCGCGTCGTCGTCCTCCTCTGCGCTCCCCGCCTCGAAGGGGTCCCCCTCGAAGGGATCCCCCTCCGGAGCCGGGGCCGTGGCGGGCCCCGCGACCTCGCCACCGCCACCCTCGCCGCCGCCCCCTCCCCCGCCGCCATCATCCCCGCCCTCGCCGCTCACGCCGCCGCTCACGCCGCCCTCCCCGCCGTCAGTCTTGTCCCCTCCGCCGCCGCCCTCGCCTTCTCCCTCGCCACCACCGCACTCCCCGCCGCCCGCCCCACCTTCGCCCTCCTCCCCCAAATCCTGAGCCTTGGGATCGGCCGCGGCGGGCGTCTCGGTGGCCGCCGCGGGCGGCTCGGCGGCCGCTCCACGCGCCAAGGCTGCCTCCTCCTCCTCCTCGGAGTCGGTCGCTGTCGGACCAGCGCTGCCCTCCCGCTCCATCGACTCGATCGACAGGCTCGAGCCGAACGAGACGGCGCTCTTGGCGGGCATCGCAAACTCGGCAAACTCATCGTCGTCGTCCTCCGCTTTGCCTCCGGCCGGCGGCACGGCGGGCACTCCAAACTCGCTGAACTCGTCGTCGTCGTCGTCCAGCGCGCCGGCCGCGGGCGCGGGATCGCCCAGCTCGATCCCCGGGCTGCCCAGCTCGCTGCCATACTGCGAGGTGCTGTGGGCGCCGAGGCCAAAGGCGGAGAAGTCGTCGTCCTCCTCCTCCTCTGGCGAGGTGGTGGGCTGGCGCGCCCGGTTGTCGCTGCTGAATTCGCTAAAGTCGTCGTCCTCCCACTCCTCCTCTCCGTTCTTGCGAGACATGGCTGCGCGCTGCTGTGTAACACACGCCGGCCGCCAGGCGAGGCACGGCGCTCACAGCAGGGCCCAGCAGAGGGCGAGGGAACCCGAGATGCTGGGGCGAGACTCGTCGAGACTGCGTCAGCTGTTCCCACAGCAGGCTGGAAGTACCTGACCGCAATGGGATTCTTTTTTGATAGCACGCGGCCAGGCCAGTCCGCACCTGTGTCGAGCAGCCTGCGTCTTCCACTTTCTTTTCTGTGGTTTTTGTGATTTGACATTTGTGTGTGTCTGTCTGTTTGAGAGTCATCCTGAGAGAGCGAGTTTGTTTTGTTAATGTAATTCTTTTTGGCGAGAGAGGCGGTTTAAGAATTCTTCCAAAAAGAAATATGAGAACGGCCGTGGCTTGGCACCTTGGCTGGGAGCGGCGCTGCAACGTCGGTCCTCGGTGCGGGAGACGTAGGGAGTGTCTCTTGGGGCTGCTGTGCTCGTCCTGGCAGAGCCCGTCCCTTTCCTTCAGCGCGCCCGCCATGGCGCCGTCGAGGCGGAGCGCACTGCTTTACGAGAGAGCGGGCAGGTTCTTGTTGTGGTTCGGTCCTCTGGAGCGCTTCGGCGATCCCCACCTCTTCCGGCGCGAGGAGGCGGCGCGAATCTGGCCGTGCCTCCGGATTGCCCAGTGGTCTTTGAAGCGAGCCTCCGGTGTGGCGCGCACCTTGATGACCTTGTTCCTCAGTGCGTCCATCAGGACCCTCCGCTTGAGGTGTTTTTTGTGCGGCACCACGCCGGGGTAGCGGTCCTGCACGAGCTCGTACAGCCGATTCGTGGTCTGCATCCCAGTGTCGCGCAGCACATTCATCACGGCGCCGCATGGGCCTGGCAACGTTGCCGGCTCCGGCAAGGGCATCACAAACTCGCCGCCCGCCCGCGCGCTGTCGAGCGCTCTCCTAAGTCGCTCAGCGCGGGCTCGCCGGCTAAACGACGCTGCAAAGGCAGCGGGCGTCGCCGCCACAGGAGACGCGCAGAGTGCGCGGCTGCGCGGTGCGAGGACGACGCCAACTGTGCGCGCAGCGAGGCGGAGCATCGCTGGCAAAAGAATTTTGGCACGCGCGTTGCTAGACGGATTGAAGGAGAGCGATGAGTCAGAGGATGAAACAGCAGGGGAGAGAACGAGGACGAGAGTGAGAAGAACGAGAGGTGGCATGAAGGTCGCTGCGAGAATTGGTGAGAAACTGCGAAGAGAGATAGGAAGTGGTAGACGAGCGGGCGGTGGGCGACGGCTAGCACCACACTCCTCTCCTTAAAATCCCTGTGTGGTGGCGGCGTGCCGTCCTCCCATCCCTCCCTTGGGTTCTCTGTTTTCTTTCTTTCTTTCTTTGGATTGAAGAAGATCCACACAAAGATCCCTGACACCAAGATCGTGGTTCGTGCAGGGCGGGGACACATGTCCCTGAATCCCATCTCGTCTGAGAGTTTGTGCCAGTGCCCAGTGCAAACGGGCCTCCTTCTGTTTGGGCACGGGCAGGATTCAGAGCCTGAACCTTAGGGTTGCCCACAGGACCCAAAAGAAAAATAGCTAGAGCCTCAAACCATGTATGAGCAAATAAAAGAGACTCCTCCCCCACACGCTCTGGAAGGCAGCCCTCGCTACCGAGGGCCGGCGCGCAGAGCTGCGGACCTACTCGAGAGGCTCTACTCGGTATGTGTAAGCGGCTCGCTCTCGTGGTGGGTTGGCCCTGAGACCCTATCATGAGAGCCTTCCGGGGCCGCGCCAAGCAGCGCGGCAGTCCTCCGCGCACAGGCGAGTCTGTAATGAACATCGTCGATGGCCGGGGGGCGTGGCTCGATCGCCGCGATCCATGCGATGACGCGTGAGGCCGCCGGACTCAGGCTGCTGCGGCGGTCGTCGCTCCGCTCGAGTCGGCCTGGGCGCACTCCGCCTCGGACTCGGAGCTCGCCTCGGACGTCTGGTTGGAGAGGAAGGACTCGGAGTTTTGCACCCAGCCGCTCGCCTTGAGGATCGAGGTGCGAGGCGACACGATCTGGACCAGCGGGGACACGGTGGACACCTCCGCGCCGACCGCATCGTCGCATTTCTCCTCCGCCGCGTCCGTCTCGGCGGCCACGTCCGGCTCAGCAGCCACCGCTTCCGGCTCGACCGCCCCTTCGGAGCGCGGCGAGAAGAGCTTGCTCACCGTCTTGGCGAAAGACTGCAACAGGTTGAGCTGCGGCGCCTCCTCCTCTGCGGGTGCTTCCGCCGCCTCCTCGGGCTTCGGCGCCTCGAGTTCCGGTGCCGACTCCTCCGGCGCCGCCTCGGGCTGCGCCGCCTCCTCTGCCGTCGCCTCCACCGGCGCCTCAGCCTCCGTTGGCTCCTCAGGCTGCGCCGCCTCCTCTGCCGTCGCCTCCACCGGCGCCTCAGCCTCCGTTGGCTCCTCGGGCTGCGCCGCCTCCTCTGCCGTCGCCTCCACCGGCGCCTCAGCCTCCGTTGGCTCCTCGGGCTGCGCCGCCTCCTCTGCCGTCGCCTCCACCGGCGCCTCAGCCTCCGTTGGCTCCTCGGGCTGCGCCGCCTCCTCTGCCGTCGCCTCCACCGGCGCCTCAGCCTCCGTTGGCTCCTCGGGCTGCGGCGCCTTGTATGCGGCCTCCTCCGGCGCCTCAGCAGCCTCCGCTGCTGACTCCTCGGGCCGCAGAGCCTCGGCCTCGTGTGAAGACGCCGCTGCCGCCTCGGCGGGAGCCTCCGGCGTCTCCGCCACTTGCTCCTCGAGAGCCTCCGCTGTCGTCGCTGGCCCCTCCGATGCCTCCTCTGTCTTTGCTGCCTCCTCTGCAATTGGCGCCTCTGGCGCCGCGGCGCCGGCCACGGCATCCTCCGAATCTTGTGTGTATTCGGCCGACGTTGCCTCGGGGGCGGCGGCGATGGGCTCGGCGTCGGGCTCGGTGCCAAATATTGCGGTGGCGTTGGTCTCAGTGGCGTCGGGCTCGGCGGCGGTGTCGGCGGCGAAGGCGGCGGACTCGGTCGCGACAGTGTCCTCGCTAAAGACGGCATCTTTGACCGCCATCGCGACCGCTGAGGACACGATCTCCTCTGCCGCTCCCTGGTGCTCTTCCGAAGGTTGCTCGGCCTCGCTCGTCACAAATGGCTCTGAGGAGTCAGAAGCGGGAGAGGGTGGGCATGCCGTAGCCACCTCGAGCTCCGAGGGCTTCGGGACGGTCTTCAGTGAGGAGGGCTCGACGACGCTGACGCTACTCTTGGAGCCGCAGGCGCCCATGAAGCTGAGCGGAGCGCCAAGGAGAGGGCGGCTCGTGCTCTGAAATCGGCAACGCATGTCACGCGCGCCGATTTTTCTCTTTTTACTTATGAGCAACAACAAACACAACAAACTCCTTACTTCAGCTGGCATGTCGGCTGTCGGGCCTCTTCGGCTCGCGGCCGCCGTGCTGCTGATCCTGAGCGATCCTGCGCTCGCACTCGCGCAGAGCACGCGTGCTCTGCGCCCCGTGGACGCCGCGACAGCGGAGTCCCACGTCGGCGCTGTCCGACACCCACTCCTCGGCTCGACGCTCCAAGAGCTGCCAGCTCGACCCGCTTCAAACATCTGCAGCGCGGTCGAGCCGGTCCAAGCTATCGTCGAGCACCCGACGGCTGCCGACGCGGCTCCCGAGCCAGCCTCGGCTGCCGCCTCGGCTTCCGCCACGGCTTCCGCCACGGCTTCCGCCACGGCTTCCGCCACGGCTTCCGCCACGGCTTCCGCCACGGCTTCCGCCACGGCTTCCGCCACGGCTTCCGCCACGGCTTCCGCCACGGCTTCCGCCACGGCTTCCGCCACGGCTCCCGCCACGGCTTCCGCCACGGCTGTCGCCACGGCTGTCGCCACGGCTTCCGCCACGGCTTCCGCCACGGCTGCCGCCACGGCTGCTGCCACGGCTGCCGCCACGGCTGCTGCCACGGCTGCTGCCAAGGCTACCTCGTCTCGTGTCCTGTCTTTTGTGTCTGTGTCGCATGACGAGTCTAGTGTGCCTAGCGTGTCTAGCGTGTTTTCTACCCGCTGCACAGGTCCGGCGCCGACTACCTCGACCGTCCCACCCACCTGGCACCGTGCAGAATGGCTCTGTGTCGGACCAAAGGCAGCCACAAGGCAGCCTGTCCCTCACAGTGTCCACAACGCCGGTGGGGTCCCCTCGGATGAGGGGGCGGGGGCGGCACGACCGTCTTTCACATTGCCCTCGACGACTGGCAGAGCCGGAGCCAACCGCACCGACCACAGCCCGACCAGTAGCCAGGAAACTACCCCGCTGGGCGGGGGCCTGGTTGGGCTGTGCGAGGTGCGGCCCTCTCGGAGCCACGAGTTGTACAAGTTCATTGACTCCGAGCGCATCTTCTACCCGTCCGACGACTCGCTCCTGCCGGGACCCGGGCCGACCGGTACCGAAGGCAGTCGAGCACCAGGACGAGGAGGCGCCGTTCTGGCGTCGCCCGTCCCCAACAACTCCGACATGGACATCTTCGTTGGCGGCACGCCCGCAAACGAGACCATCACCAGTCTCTTCTCGCGCGACGCCTCGTCGGCGGGCGGCCTCTGGGACCTCTCCGACCCGCTGGGACTGGTGATGGCAAAGCTCCCGGGAGATCTCTTACTCGCCGGCCTCATGGCGGCTTACACCAAAAACGGCATTTTCGCTTCGCCGCCGCCGCCGCCGCGGCCGCGGCCGCCGCGCCGCCCGCGGCTCGTGCCGAGCCTAACTGCGCTCGGCATCCGCTCGTAGACGGTGCCCTTGAAAGCGGTGCCGAGGAGCTCCTCGTAGTTGACGCTGACGCACGGCGCGTGGCGGCAGCGGGCGCTGATCTTGCAGGGGAGGCCGGTCTGGTTGAAGGTCGTGCAGAAGCCCAGCCCGTCGCGCGTCGCGATCGCCTTGACCTTGCCCGCCGCGCGCGCGACCTCGACCTTGTTGTCGGCGAGGAGAGTCTGGAAGCCCCTCTTCTTGGCGACGCCGGCCGCTGCAGCGCGCCGAGCCTTGAGAGCCTGCGCCTCGCACAGCGTGCCGTGGACGATGTCGGCGTTGGTCGACCCGAACGCGCGGCAGGAGGGGCGGAGCTTGTTGCCGAGGATCTTGACGCACCCTACGTCGAGGCGGCGCAGGGGTCCAGACCGTGCCGCGCCGAAAATTCTTTTTCTCACCGAACACCAAAAAGCGAGCCCCCAAAAGGACTCTCGACGAGCGTCTCGTGGCGGACCGACCTGCTCACGAAAATACCACACAAATGCACATTCCCGGGCGCAGGAGCCCACCGTGCACGCGGCAGAGCCCGAGCGCCAAGGCTGACGTCGGCCTCGAAGCATCGTGGATGAGCGGCTACACCTCGCCCACGTCATCCCTCAACTCCGCGGGCGCTGTGGCCACCGCCAACCCCGGCGGCACGTCATCACTCAACCCCGGGCGGAGGCGGCGGCGCTGGCTGCTCTTCGGCTGCGGCGGCTCGAGCGCAGAGTCAGAGGGCTGGGAGTCCGTGCGGCAGCTGCCCAGTGCGGAGCCCGGGGCCGTGGGTGAGGCGCCGCTGCTCCCCGGTCTGGCTGCGCTGCTCAGCAAGCCGGGGGCGGCGGCGCTGCGGGCGCTCGGTGACAAGGGCGACGAGGGGACGGGTGCTCGCTCCTCGCTTCCGCTCGAGGGCGGCGCCGTGCTGCTGCACCACTGGCCGCTCGGCCTCGCGCTGACCTGCGTCGGCGGCGCCGTCGACGAGGTGGAGGTGTTTTGCGACCGCCACCCCTTCCAGCAGCGGCCGCCCGGCCGCCAGCTCCTTCCCGGCGTCTCATTCGGCTCGTGTCGCGCCGCCGTCGAGGCTGCGCTCGGCCCCCCCATCGGCGAGGGGTCGGGCTGCAAGGGGGGGTGGCTCTTCTACGGCCCGTGGCGGCTGCCCGGCCGCAAGAAGCGGGGCCTCGTGACGCTCGCCCTCTGGTTCGGGGAGGGGGCGGCCGGCGGCGGAGGCGGTCCTGAGGCCGGCGGCCCCGGCCGCAGGACAGAGCTCGATCCGGAGAGCGGGGGAGGCGGCCGGAGGGCGCCGCCCGGGGCGGAAGCGGAGAGGGTGGGGGGCGCGTGCGAGAGCGGGGGCGGGCTGCAGGCGGTGCGGCTCCTCCGCTCCGACGACCGCTCCCTCTGGCGCTCGACGCACGCGGTGCGGGAGGCTTCCCTCCGGACGGCAGACGCGTGCATCGCGGACGCGCAGCAGGGCGAGGCGGGGCGAGGCGAGGCCGAGGCGGGCGGGGCGGAGGAGGGGCCGCAGTGGCGGTGGCTGCGCAACCGGCGCTTCAACGCCGCGACGAACGCCGTCATTCAGGCGCCACAGCCGCCCGCCAGCAGCCGCAAGCAAACCCGCCCTCCGCCCTCGCCGCCCTCGCCGCCACTCCCCGCTCCCCCCCCACCCCCCTCCCCTCCCCGCCCCCACCCCCCTCCCCCCCGCCGCCACACGGGCAGGTGGCTGGCCACTCGAACCTGTTCGAGCGCCTCTGCGAGTCGGTCATCATCAAGCAGAGCTCCACGCCCGAGAGAGCCGCGTACGAGGGCATCTCAGCCACGCCCCTCGGCCCGTTCGTGCCACGCTGCCTCTGCGCCTGCCAGCGCGGGGAGGCGCGGCCTTCCCCTCCCCCTCCTCCTCCTCCTCCCCCTCCTCCTCCTCCTCCTCCTCCTCCTCCTCCTCCTCCTCCTCCTCCTCCTCCGTCGGCCCCGCCCTCTCCCTCTCCTCCTCCTCCGTCGGCCCTGCTCCCTCTGCTCGCTTTGGTAGCCCCGCCTCCTTGTCAGCTGCCAGACCCTCGCTGCTCCCGACACGCTGACGCGACACCCACCCGAGAAGCGACGTCTCCCCCCCCCCCTCCCTCCCTCCCCCCCTCCCCTCCCCTCCCTCCCTCCCTGCAGGTGCAGCTGCTCTACATTGAGGACCTGACTGCTCGCTACCGCCGACCGTGCGTCATGGACGTCAAGGTTGGCACCCGCACATTTCTCGAGGCGGACGCCGCCAGCACGCGCCGCCGCGTCGACCTCGCGCTCAAGATGCTTGCCGTCGACCCCGCCGCCCTGAGCGAGGAGGAGGCTGCGGCGGGCGTCACAAAGATGGAG